TTCTGGGGATGTGAGCAGGGTTTATTTTTAAGTCTCTGTGAGGAAGGGCAACAGAGGAAACAAGGGTGGTCTTGCTACAAGTTGAAGTCCTGTGACTGTGTCCTCACAGCCTGTCCACACCTGGGCCTTCCTTTCTCCTCGGACCCAGGGGCACAGACCCAGATACACACACGTGCGCGCGCACACCCAACACACACACACACTACAGCCGGTGACGGGCCTAAGAAGCTGAATGCCAGACTGAGGAGTGAGGCTGTCCCCTCTTGTCCCCTGGGCCCTGAGCCACCTCCTGGGGTCCCAGCACCACCCAACCCAATGCTGCACCCACCTCCTGTCTCCCCACACCAGGTGCTTCAGCGGCTGAGTGAACTCCCTAAGGGCAGTTCCTTGAGGGGAGCCTTAATTTTGTCCCTACTGTATCCCCACAACCAGGCCCAGCACCCAACACCTAGCAGGTGTCCAGGAAAGATGAGTGAGTCCGCGATTCAGGCGCAGGACTGCAGTCATTGAGTTGACCTCTGAGCTTGGCGGTGCAAGGCCAGGATGAAGGGGCCTGGGGGAAGCCCGTTCTCCTGCAGAGGCCCGGGGAGCTGGCCCCAACGCCTACAGGCCCTCAGAGAGAGTCATCAAAGTGATACTGAGGTGCTTGGTGATATCCCAAGACTGGGCAGCTGGTTTGCAAAGGTGTCCTGGTGGTGGAGGGCAGAGCCTGGCCAGGTGGCCACCAGGTGCTGCTGTTCTTCCCTCAAAGCAGTTCCTGTCCTGCCAGCCCAGGCCTCACGGCGGAGAGCTCAGCCCCGCTGTCTGTCCCAGGGCCACCTGAGCTCCCGGCCTGCGCCTCCTCCCTGAGCAGGACGCCTGAGGGGCCTCCCGGGGGGAACAGCCCTTTGGAGAGGTGTGGGGTGACAGCGGGTACTGTCACATCTGGGGGAGGCGACCCCGGATGATAGGCAGGTGGGCCCAGGATCAACATGCCCAAGAATTTCCAAGAAACCTTCCAATACGAGGAACCTGAGGCCCTAATGGGGTCGGATAACCTGTGGAGGGTCACTCAGCAAGTGTGTGAATGGTTTATAGGAACCACAGTGAGCCACAGAGGAAGTGGCAGAGCTGTGGGACCTGGGTCCCTGCCTACGTGGGGACCGCCTCCTGCTGGGCCTCAGAGGGTAAAGCTGGGGCCCCCCAGGGGCTGGCGCAGGCCTTGGGCTCTTGGTGTCCCCAGCACAGCGCCCTCCCCTTTCTCCATCGGGTCCTCCCTCCCCCTCCTCTGCTTTTGTTTCTTGGCCTCCCAGCCTCTGTTTCCCTCCCTCCCTCCCTCCTCCACCCCCAATCTCTCCCCCTCTTCCTCCACTGTGGCCTCCCTCCCCCCACCTCCCAGCATTAAGTCTTTAAACCACCATCAGGCAGCTCTTCCCTAACTTTGCCATTCCGTGCTCGCTGGGCCCTGGTAGGAGGCCCAGCTGCCTCCCTCCCGTCTCCTGGCCCAGGCTGTGTGTGGAGCGCCTGGACGGGCTGACCTCGGCATTCTTGTGCACCTTGTGGAGAGTTTTTGTTCTAAGCCTGCAGCACAAGTGGGAGGAGGCCTTGCCCTGAGAAGGGAGGTGCCCCAGGGGGGCCCCAGGCCGATGACCAGAGGGGCTTGGAGGTGGGGCCCCCCCTGGCACTCAGGTAGTGCGCACCTGGCGGGGCATTAGTCAGGGGCTGTGGCCTGTGAGGAGCCAGGGGCCTGGGAAACGGGGCACAAAAAGATGGCCCAGGAGGAGGAGAGGCATCACACTGGGGTCACAGAGCCCCAGGCTCCCCACCACTCATTTGTGTGTGTGACAGACAGGGCAGCAGGCGCAGGGCCCAGCCCCACAAGCCCCACCAAACCTGCACTTCTTGGGGGTATGTGTTCTGGTCAGGCCAGTGCCCATCAGCATAAGAGAAAGCAGGGGCCCCACTGGGCCGGCAGGTTGATGGGGACCCAAGAAAATGTCCTGCCTGGTGAAGGCCCTGGACCAGCCAGGCCGGGCGGGTCTGAGGCTCCCAGGTCCTGCGGCCTCCTCAGCATGTGAGTGGGGCAGGGCGGCACCGGGTTGCTGAGGAGGCCGGGCTTGGAGCCCTGACCTGGGCTCCCAGGTCAGCCAATGGGGCCCGGATGGGGCTGGACAGGCCCAGCTGCAGACCCAGCTCTGGAGCATGTCACTTAGGCCCCAGATTCCTGGGCTCTGAAATGGGGTGCACACTGCCCCCACCCCTATCCCACGGGGTTGTTTTGGGGTGAAATGGCTTGCATGGGACCTGGTGAACACTTAGTAGTGGGAAACTAGCTCTTCCCCCAACATTTGTGGTGAGTTGTTGGCACCTCTGTGTCCCCCACCATGTGGGCACAAAACCCCCAAGAACAAGGACTCTGGGTGGTCCCCTCTTATGCTCAGGCACCAGCTGCTGATACAGAAACACCTTTCCCATTCCTCATCCCCAAAGCTGAAACCGCCCGCCTGGTCCCGTAGGACGGGAACACCGGTTTGTGGGGGCAGGCTTGGCTGGCGCCCGAGGGCCTGGCGTGATCCCTGCCAGTGGCTGCTTTCACTCTTAGCAGAGTCCTCCTGGTGGGGGACCCACCTGTGCTCTGACTCCCACAGGCTCCCCTTTACTTGGCTTCAGGTGCTGGGGCCAGGGAGGAAGACAGGGATGGGGCTCACATTCACACCGCTCGCCTTTTCACTGCCCCAGGAGTCGGGCACTGCGTCCCCTTGCACAGAGACGAGGAAACTGAGGCTCGAGATGTGATGGGGTATGCCCAAGCTAGAGAAGGGAGTCCAAGGCCAGGTCCCCAGTCTAGGCTCCGCTGCTGGGGATCAGTTCCTTACCTCTGCTGGCCCTTCTTCAGGGGTGAAAAGTGCTGAGCCTGTGTTTGCTCAAGCCCACAGCAGACAACGGGGCTGCTGCTGGGGCCGCAGGCCATTGTGACTGGAGGAGGCAGTGACACACCCGGGGGGGGCTGGGTGCATACAGTGGTCTCTAATGTGGACGCTGTGGGGACAGGGACCCTGCCTCACTCGCCTTACCTCTCCAAGCACAGAGCCTGACCCAGTGATGAGCCAGTGTCTGTTGCACAAATGAGTAAATGAATGAATGCGTGAGTTCTATCCTAGAGAACAGAATCTTGTCCACAGAATTCCCAAACGTTTGCTGAATCTGGGACCCAGAATGGAGAGATCTCAGCTCTGTGGTTTTTCATCAGAAAAGGCTTCTTCCGGAGATGGGGCAGTCAGTAGTAATTCTTTACATTTGGGGAGGGCTTTATAATTCACAAAGCCCCTTCACCTACATCATGACCTCCGGGCTCTCACCGCCCTTCCGCTGTGAGGCATCCTATCCACATTTGTTTGATGGGGAAACTGAGGCACAGGGGACTTTGCTCAGTCGTGTGTGGCAGGTCAAGCTGCCTGACTCCCAGCTAAGTGCTCTTTCCAGTGCTGGGGTGGAGAGAGACTCTGACTCACTCTGGTTTGGCCCCTCCAGCCTGTTCCAGATGGACCCTAAACTCCGTGTCCACTGACTCTTCCCACGAGAGCCCCACTTAAAGCTTAATAGTTTGATCTGCAGAGTCCATTTCAAGGAGGCTGAATTCCTGTCTGGGGTGTTTTATTTTTAGCTGGCTTTGGAAAGGGGAAGCTCCACTGGCCCAAGGTGGGAGGGAGACACCAGGCCAGGAGCCGGCTTCCTGAGGGAGGGCCGCCGCCGGGCCACGCACCTGACCCTGGCCCTGGGACAAGAGCAGGCGAGGCCAGCAGGAGCACCCCCCAGTTTCCCTTCCTTATGGAGCACCTCTGATTGCAGAGTGCCGAGCCAGGGCAGAGTGCCGGTCTGAAACCCGGGAGGAGGGCTGTGCATTGGGCGCTCACTGCATGGGCCAGGCCAGGAGAGGGCGCCAGGGCCGGCGGGAGGCTGGGAGCAGGTGGATTTTGAGGGAAGCCTGGAGGCTGGTGGGAGGAGCCAGGAGCTCAGTGGGGTTGAGAAAAGGGTGCCCAGAGGGAGAACCCAACCCATGCCAGGGCCAGGGTACCCAGAGTGCTGGTGCACCTGCAGCCCGAGGAAGGCAGGAGGCCGATGCGCCGGGGTTTGGACCTGGACAGGGGGGCATGCTGGCTGTTTTGGAAGAACCTGTTAGGCCAGAGAATGTGGCTGTGAACCCGGCAGCAGTTTCCGTGTTCACTTGAGACATTGTCTCAAATATGTTAGTGGGCAGGGAGCCCTCCCTTCAGTTCTTATCTTACATGGGATTCCAGTGGACAAACCAGATCAAAGCTGTATTTTTAATTGGTATAAATTCAGATATTTAAATGTTTAACACTAATCAAGAACAATGACTTGTTAAAGATGTAGCCCTTAAACATCAGGCTGAGAGGTGGTAGCTGCTGTCTGGGGGAGACCTTGGCACCTAATTTATTTTTGTGTGTAGCCTTCTTTTTGCCAAATATATGTATTTTTTTAAAAATCAAAACACCTCATTCATATGGCCAAGCCATTAAAAGTGGTGACAGTTGTTTAACACCTCACTGTACCATCTCAAGGTCTGTGCAAAATTAACTGCCTCGGCAGCAAAGCCAGAGAGGCCGCTGAAGGTGTTGGAATGACATACATATTTTAGATGGGTTATCTATAATCGATTTTTAAAGTAGAAGAATCTTTGTTTTTTGCCATTTTGAATCAGATTTTTGAGGAACTCCTGAAGGACATGCAGAACACCCTAACTCCCTGTTGTGCAGATGGGAAGAGCAGATGGAGGCCAGCACAGGGGCCAGGCTTACCCACGATCCCGCAGGGTAATGGAGGAGATGGTCAGATGCAAAGAGGGTGTCACTGCTCCCCGTGATTACAGGGGTACGCTGTTCCCAAAGCAGACACCAGGGACAGACACACCCAAGCGTAGGCGAGCCCTTGCTAAATGTGGGAGTGTGCCGTCTGCGCACCAGAGCCGGCACTGTTAACGTCCCTCTGTCGTCCCGCAGCGATGCCCTCCTAGCCAGCCGCCGCGGGATGGAGGGCTTCATGGACTCAGGGACACAGACGGATGCAGTGGTGGTGCTGTCCTTGGCGCAGGCTGCCGTGCTGGGCCTGGTCTCAGAGAATGAGCTCTTTGGAGCCACCATAAGCGCCGAAGCCTTCTACTCGGACCTGGGGCCGGAGCTCCCTGGGGCAGCCATGGGGGACCCTGGGCCCACAGGCCCCGACGTCTACCAGCTGGCCTGCAACGGGCGTGCCCTGGAGGAGCCAGTGGAGGAGGAGGTGCTGGAGGTGGAGGCTGCCTTTGAGAAGCACACCCGGCGGAAGACGCGGCCTCCCGTGCGGCTGGTGCCCAAGGTCAAGTTTGAGAAGGTGGAGGAGGAGGAGCAGGACGTCTATGAGGTGTCTGTGCCTGGCGATGACAAAGATGCAGGCCCTGCAGAGGCCCCTGCCGAGGTGGCCAGTGGCGGCTGCGAGGCCCTGGTGCAGAGCAGCGCCGTCAAGATGATCGACCTCAGCGCCTTCAGCCGTAAGCCCCGGACGCTGCGGCACCTGCCCCGTGCCCCGCGGCCAGAGCTGGACATGGCACCCTACGACCCCCACTTCCCCGACCCGGCCCAGGATGGCTTCCCCGAGCCCAGCATGGCGCTGCCAGGCACAGAGGCCTTACCCACAGAGTGTGGTTTTGAGCCCCCCAACCTGGTGCCCTTGAGCGACCCCGAGGCCCCTACCATGGAATCCCCGGAGCCCGTGAAGCCAGAGCAGGGCTTCGTGTGGCAGGAGGCGGCGGGGGAGTTCGAGGCCGACTCAGCGGGCTCGACGGTGGAGCGTCACAAGAAGGCGCAGCTGGACCGGCTGGACATCAACGTGCAGATCGACGACTCCTATCTGGTGGAGGCAGGCGACCGCCAGAAGCGCTGGCAGTGCCGCATGTGTGAGAAGTCCTACACGTCCAAGTACAACCTGGTGACGCACATCCTGGGCCACAACGGCATCAAGCCGCACTCGTGCCCGCACTGCAGCAAGCTCTTCAAGCAGCCGAGCCACCTGCAGACGCACCTGCTGACACACCAGGGCACGCGGCCCCACAAGTGCCAGGTGTGCCAGAAGGCCTTCACGCAGACCAGCCACCTCAAGCGCCACATGCTGCTGCACTCGGAGGTCAAGCCCTACAGCTGCCACTTCTGCGGCCGCGGCTTCGCCTACCCCAGCGAGCTCAAGGCCCACGAAGTGAAGCACGAGAGCGGCCGCTGCCACGTCTGCGTGGAGTGCGGCCTGGACTTCTCCACCCTGACACAGCTCAAGCGCCACCTGGCCTCCCACCAGGGCCCCACCCTCTACCAGTGCCTCGAGTGCGACAAGTCCTTCCACTACCGCAGCCAGCTGCAGAACCACATGCTCAGGCACCAGAACGTGCGGCCCTTCGTGTGCACGGAGTGCGGCATGGAGTTCAGCCAGATCCACCACCTCAAGCAGCACTCCCTCACCCACAAGGTGAGCCTGCGGGCCCCTCCCCTCCCCCGGGCCCTGCCCCCAGCCCTGACCCTCCCCTCCCCTCCCCTCCCGCAGTCCTGTGCTTCCCAAAGTACCAGATGGGGAGATTGCTGAAGTGGTGACATAGATGGTACACTGATGAATGCCACTTATTTTTATAGTTACATACTTATTTTGATGAGTATTTGAGAAAATGTAATTGAAATTGGTTTGTTTTAGTGGTAAAACCTTACGTATTTAAAAATAAGTTTTGAATGAAATGTGGGAGGAACCCCTAGAGGGCCCAAGGAACACAGTTGGAGAATCGCTGCATTAGCCACGCCCACCTACACCCCCTCCCCCGTTTTATAGAAGATAGGGCAGAGACCAGGATGCCAGGGGCAGATGGACGAGATGGGCAAAGTACAGAGGGTTTCCTCTGCTCCTCGTAATTACAAAAGAATATCAACCTGTGTGACTTCTCTTTAGGAAAAAGCCAAAGATATCTCATTTTAAAAGGGAATCATTGTAAGGAAGAATATTAGTTATGGAGAAGTACAGTCGGTTCTAGAATATGACCACACTAGGCAAAGAGGTCACGGAAATGGAAGGTGAAACAACACTGCTCTTACCCAGCATGTCCCCACGTCCCCAGACATAATCTTGCCCCGTTCTCCACTACCTGGTCCCTCCCTTCAGGCTGCTGCATGTCTTTCAGCCCACGGCACCCCCTCCGGGAGGCCCTGTATATCCAGGCTGGTAGAATGGGGCTTGTTGGGCCCCAGAATCCCACTCTGGCCCCTGGCCTGCCCCCTAGTTCCCACCCCAAATCCAACCAGCTTCCAGCTTTGAAGCTGAATGGGTACAGAGCTTCTTCCTTCCGTGACGGCAGCTTGAGAGATGCTCCGGGTGCAGCTGGTGGCCTGTGGCTGAGAGTGGACGCTGCAGTGAGTCGGGGAGCGCAGCCTGCCAGGCCAAGAATCCAGCCTTCCCCAGCCCTGGGAACTTCTGCCACGGCAGAGACGGCACATGGGTCTCCCTGCGGGTGCTCCTCCAGTCAGTCGGGCAGCCACCTAGGGTGTAATGCTGGGAAGGATTCTGAAGCTGAATCTGGGCTCCGCAGGGGATGTGCATGGAGTGGAAACCAGATGACCGATTATTAATGTCTGCAGGACAGGTACTATCTAGTGGCCACTCCTCTACAGAAGTCCCCACAGGTCGGCAAAGTGTGAAAAGATAAATAATATTGTGAAGAAAAGCTGAAAGCAAAAATCAAAGGCTAATAAAAGGGGAAACATCCCTGTCACCAGCCTGAATGTGTACAATGTGCATTATCACGCACTTACAGAGTAAGCGCCAAAAGGCAGGGCCCCCTGGTGGTCGTACACACCCCCAGTGTGTCAAGCCGGCAGCTAAGACACAAGACACAGCCCATGTACTGAGAGAAATAGACACAGGAACCATTAAAGTATAACATGCAACTTACGCCAAACAAGCAGTTAGGACAGCAACTGCGACCACAGACTTGTGTCCATCCCAATGGGGTTCCACTAAATCACTCAGCAAAGAGATCGGCTCCCACCTTTGTCCTAACTCTCCTCCCCAGATAATACACTGGACCCCTTGCACACAGCCCCCTGCCCTGTTCTGGGGGCCACCTCCAGACCACTGAGAAGCATGTTGGCAGTGCAAACAAGGGTTCTGCCTTGAGTCTTTGTCTCCTGGGGCCAAGTGTCCCAAACTCCATCAGTCACCTGGGGGACCTGCCGAGATGAAACAGCCCTGGACCCATGGAATCAGAAACGCCAGATGGCAGCCTAAGGGGCTGACTGTTCACCAAGAACAGGTGGTTCTTATCATCAGGGAAGCTCAGAAAACCCAGAGGGTCTGTGGATGGGCTCCGCAGGGGGTTGAGAACTACACATTCTGTGCAGGCTTGGGTCATTTTTCCCAGGGTGTCCATACCTGAGTCATATTCTCAAAGGGGTCTGTGAACCAAAAAGACCACTGAGAGTGCCGAGGGGGGAAACACATATGCTCTCACAGTCCACAGCCACCAGCCTATGGTTGTCGTCTTGGCCACAGGCCCCTGGCGCCTGGCACAATCAATGCTGGCTTGTAGCAGGGCCTGGTGAATGGTCGCCGAATGAATGAACACATTCTCCTCAGTGCCCGGTACAGATCTACAGGTACACCTGCTCTGGTGGGCAGGAGCAGTAAGTCCTAGCCGGTCTCTATCTGTTGCCATGGAAGGCTTCCTGGAGTGGGTGGCCTTGCCCTGATATTCTCCCAGTGGTTTTAAACAGTTTTAATCAGGTAGTACCTGTTCAGAACGACCCCAGAAGTTATGTCCCAGAAGCTCTACGTTAAGAGTAATGCCGTGGTCCCCACACACACTTCCAGGGCCGTGCCCACTGGGTGACCCTATCAACCTCACCCCCGCAGGGTGTGAAGGAGTTCAAGTGCGAGGTGTGTGGCCGGGAGTTCACCCTGCAGGCAAACATGAAGCGGCACATGCTGATCCACACCAGCGTCCGGCCCTACCAGTGCCACATCTGCTTCAAGACCTTCGTGCAGAAGCAGACCCTCAAGACCCACATGATTGTACACTCGCCGGTGAAGCCATTCAAATGCAAGGTACCCAGGTGGCAGGCCCCACGGCAGGGGCTTCCCCAGGGGCAGCGTGACTGCAGCAGCCGAGACCCACCAAGAGCCGGGCTGGCCCATGCGGGCAGGGGAGTCCCGGCTGGGTGAAATGGCCAGGCATTGGGGGTTGGCGTGGGCAGTGGGGGCTCCGATCCTGAAGTTGTTTTTTGAGAGTTGGGGGGGCGGTGAAGGTCATCACAGCCACAGGGAGCAAGCCCGGGCCTGGAACCCACTACAGTCGGAGGTCTGAGCCCTGGGTTTCTGCTGACTGCAGCTCAGGCCCACAGAACAGTGGCCCCCCAGGAGTGGCTTAGCTCTCTGCCTCACAGGCCCCTGGGGTCACGCAGGAGAGGGCAGAGCACGTGCTGTCCACAGCAAATGGATTTCAGCCCAGCCATGGAGATGGGAGTGTCTGGGGGTTCAAAAGGCCAGGCTCCCTGAGGGCTGATGATGCCGGGCTGGTGTGTTCCAGGTGTGCGGGAAGTCCTTCAACCGCATGTACAACCTGCTGGGCCACATGCATCTGCACGCAGGCAGCAAGCCCTTCAAGTGCCCCTACTGCTCCAGCAAGTTTAACCTCAAGGGCAACCTGAGCCGGCACATGAAGGTCAAGCATGGTGTCATGGACATCGGTCTGGACAGCCAAGGTGGGTGGGCCCTGCGCAGTGGACGGAGCAGTAGCGGCACTATTGAGGCACACTCAGGAGCCTCCTGTCCAGTCAGGGGTGTGGGGAGGCTGGCCAAGCCCACAGCCTCCCTGGGGTGGGCTCAGGTCTGGGGAGGGGGCACCCTGGAGGGCTATCATGACGGTGATGGGAAAATTATGTATTCTTCAAAGGACTTAAGTGGGCTCCCATAAACAACAATAATAAAAAGAATCACTAATGTCGATTGAGTGCTAACTGTGTGCCAGGCCTTTATTAACTCATGGGATCCTCACTGTGAGGATGGCTCTGCTATTATCCCCACTTTACAGATGCAGAAACAGAAGACAGAGAAGTTAGGTGACTCCTGTGAGATCACAACACACAGGAGGTGACAAGCACTTTATCTTGTTACTATGATGTGACATTTTAAATAAACAGATAAGAAAGTAACAGAAGGGCAAGTAGCGACTGAAAAAATAAGGGAGAGCCAGGCAAGCTCACAATTTCAAGTGCACCATGGACGTGAGGAGGGGAACTCTGAGCTTCCTAGCAGCCATGGCAAAGAGTGTAACACAATCAGTCATGCTCTTCATAGTGCTGGCCCAAGAGAATGGAACTCAGATACTCAGAAGAGGGTCCTCACGACTGAGGTTGGTAGAAGTCTCATGGGCTGTTTATATTAACATCGCCAAATGCTAGTGATAGCCTCCTCCCTGGATATTCATCACTAGTGGAAAAACTTTAGTCTCTGTCCTTTTGTGCAAGGAGGCAGGCCCTTTAGAGATCCCATAGGAAGAAAGAGCAGATAGCACTTGAGGAAGGCTCCTTGTACGGTCTGGAGCTATTTGACTTTCTGGTGCTCCTGAGACAAACCGGCTGGGAACGTGCATCAACAATAATCGGTTGAGTTGACGTACCTGAATGAGATTCCTCACTAGCCGTCAGTCAGATGCTGGGGTGGCCGCAATAACCCTGGTTTGGTTTTGCAGCAGCTGACCTGTGAATGGCCTGGATTTTCTGGCGGAAACAGGTGTCTTCAGTTTTCTACTCTTGTAGGCGAGAATGAAACCCTGTGGGCTGCATCTAGATGCTCTCTGGAGCCCCTTCCCTCCTGAAAATGCAGTAGGAGAACCAGCGACATTGGCATCACCTGGGATCTTGCTAGACCTCCACACTCAGACCTACCCCAGACCTGCTGAATCAGAATCTCCATTTCAAAAAGATCCCCCCAGGTGATTCCTTCGCATAGGAAGGTTTGAGAAGCATGGATCTGTGTGGGTCCCTCCCTGCCTCTGACACCTCACAGATCAGATTTCTATACTTAATTTATATATTAATCCCACAGATCGGGAGTGGTTTCCAGCCTTTAGAATCACCTGGAGGCTTGTTAACCCCACAGCTTCTGATTCTGTAGGTCTCAGGTGGGGTAGAGACCCCCCGGGACCTCTCAAAGAATACCCCAGGCCGTACTGAAGCTGCTGGTCAGGGACCTCGCTTTGAGAACCTTTGCTCCAGACTCTAGACTGTTTCTCAAATTTGGCTGCACTTTGGAAAACCCTGGGGACTTTGTTTAAATGCTGATGCCTGAGCCTCAGCCCCAAAGAACTGAATGTAATTGATCTGCATGGGGCCTAGGATCGGGATTTTTTTTAAGCACTTTAAGTTTCCCCGGTAGACCTGCCAAGAATCTTCCCCACCAGGAGGGGCTTGGAGCAAACCTTGTCCTTTTGGAAATAACGTTCGCTATACACTTTGCTCCTGGGAGGTGGTCAGGCAGAAATTCTTTCCATCTGAGATCAGTAACCAGGGATGTGTAGGAATTCTTGACTGGTCCAGATGACAGAGAGTGAAGTGATTGGCCCTGGAATGGCTGGGACCCAAGTCCGCCTTCTTCTCATGTCAAACCTTGGTCTGAGCAGCTCAGGCTTGATGCTGTGGGGAGAAAGGTAGCATACACTGCAGATGGAACCACCTAGAAACTAGTTTGGGAGGTGGTGCAGACTGTTCCCCAGGACCAACTGGACAGCATCAACAATAAAGATAAACAAAGTGGGTGGTGGGAAGAATGGATGACAGAGACCAGAGGTAGAAAGTTTCCCAGGATGAAATGATGGACTGAATGATATGAAAGTGTGGCACTAGGCTTTGAAAAGGAAGAAACCGCCAAAGGGCTATAAGATTTGGGAAAGTGACCTTTTATAAAGTCAGGGAGACACAGTGTGTCAGATGATCTGGGCACAAATCATAGACACCCCATTCAGATTGGCGTAAACAATAAGGAAATAGACTAAGAAATGATTCAAAGTCCAGGCCATCTTCAGAGCTGAATGATTCAGCCCCTCGACAATGAAATCAGGGCGAGGCTCCCTCTGTCCATAGCATTAACTTAAGATTTTACTCATGGTCATGAGGTGGCTGCCAGGCGCCTTCACCGCAATGGGCTTCCTTGCTCTCATCTAGTGGGAGATGAAGAGACAATTCCCCTTTGCCCTATGAAACCAATGAGAATGTTCCAAAAACTCAGTATCAGGCCCTCCCTCGTGATTCACTGGCCAGAACTGGGCCATGCCTATTCCTGAACCACTCATTTTCAAGGGGATGGGATTACCCTTAGACCAGTGGTTCTTCACTGCGGGGGAGTTCGCTCCCCAGGGACATCAGCCAATCCAGAGACATTTTTGGTTGTTGCAGTGGGGTGATGCTACGGGCACAGACTGGTAGAGGCCAGGGGTGCAGCTAAACATCTTACTGGGCACATCCTACATCCCCCACAACCCAACAAATAATTATAGCCCAAAATGTTAATAGTGCCAAAGTTGAAAAGCTCTGCCTCAGACTTACCAGGGCTAATCCCTGGACCGGGGTCTATTTCTCCCCAGAACACATCTCCTAGGTAGACAGGAGCAGAAGTCACATTGGGGCTCAGCCACAGTTGCTGCCAGCCAGCCTCCCAGGGTCCCCAGATCACACCCTGGGCTTCCTTCCCTCTGCAGCCCCAGGTCTCCTCTGTGGAGTTTTCTCTCTGGCTTTTGTTCTAACACCAAGAGTTTTATAGTAAAATTCCAACTTGGTAAAATTACCAGAGACCTCTTCTAGAGTTTTGCCTCACGCATCTTAGTTAAGCTACCTTGGGTGTTTGTCCTTGAAGAGCAGGGCCCGAGGCAGCCAGCGGGTAGAACTGGTTTAGAGCAGCCGTGCCCAGGTCGGAGGAGAAAGGGCCGTCCAGCCTTCCAGGGTGGAGCAGAGCTTGCTGGGTGCCCTTGGCAGTGGGTGGAGCTCTGGACTTCCTTTTGATCTCCTACACGGTGTTGCTGTGAGCATTCATGAGAAGTGCCGAGCGGCAGTGGGTGCTGAGTGGGTGCTCTTGCAGAGAATACAGTAAGTAGGGACTTAGTGGCTTAGGAGGGGCAAGAGGCACCATCAAGGTCAGCCCTGCACCCACCCTGCGCACACACAGCCTTAGGGTTCAAGTCCGGTGACTCATCTGAGAAGCCACTGGAGCTTCGGGCTTCCCAGAGCAGAAAAGAAGAGGGGCAGCTGAGAATACTCGAGAAGCAAGAGCCAGGAGGTCCTCCCTTTAGCAAGGGCACCTGCTTCCAGTGTGGGAGTGACTGGCTCTTCCTGCGTCCAGGCCTGACTGTTCTCTCTCTTGCAGACCCCATGATGGAGCTGACGGGCACTGACCCCTCTGAGCTTGACAGCCAGCAGGAGATGGAGGACTTCGAGGAGAACGCCTATGCCTACGCTGGTGTGGACAGCAGCGCCGAGGCCAGTGTCCTCACCGAACAGGCCATGAAAGAGATGGCCTACTACAACGTGCTATAGCACAAGCCAGGCTGCCCCGACGGGGTGAGGAGGGCACGGGGCGTGGGGGTGAGACCCACATGCTGCAGGCTGCACCTTCTGCAGCAGAGAAACAAGCTACTGCCCCACTGTCCCGAGTCCTCCCCTCCCGCCACATCGTTTGCACCACTAGGGACTTCTAGACCAAACGGAGACTGTACTCCTGGCCTTGGCTGTGAACCCCCTACCGACCCCAGGCATCTGGGGAAGGAAGGCTGACCGAAGGCCCAGCTCTGCCAGGTCCCCTTGGCCTGCTGCTGTGGGAGGGTGAGAGGTATGTTGATGGGGCCACCTGGGGCCAAGTCTCAAGGTCCCTCCAGGCCCAGCAGAGCTGGGGCAGCCAACATGAGCAGGGGCTCCTGAGCGCTCCGCGGGGCCCTGACCCCAGAGAGCACTTGAGCCACGCCTTGTTCCTCCTTAGGACCAACTCCTGCCTATAGGATGGGATGTCTGAGCTCCTGTCTAGTCAGCACTGCCCCCCAAGTCCACCCCCTACCAGCCCCTGGGCTGGGAAAAGCCCAGGCCCCAGAGATCCCTTCCCACCCTGTCCATGGACAGCCAGGCAGGGCCCTCTGCCTTCTACCTCCTGGTGCCGCCCACGCTGTCCTGAAGCCAGGCATGCATGCAGCCCCAGTCCTGGCCTTAGGAAGGTAGGGTACAGCCCAGCCCCCCGCTAGCACCCTCTCAGCCAACCCCTAGAAGGCCCTCCGTCTTACAGCCCTGCTTGGAAATGGGTGTCCCTAAAGTGGATTTCAACAGATGTCATCAGTTCTGTTTTGAACTGGGGCACCACATCAGGGTCCCCCGACATGAGCGAAGCTGGGACATGCCTTGCACCAGGCCCACGCTGACAGATGGATGTCGGCCCCTTGAGTGAGAGGCAGGGCAAAGTAAAGGGGTCATGGGGACCAAGAGGGACCGTCCTCAGAAGGCGAGAACCATGTGGATGGGGGTGTGGGGAGGGGCGCTGGAGTATTTTCTTAACACGCATCCATTTTGAGGACAGGGACAGCCAAGAGTCAACAGGTTCCCGAGAAGAGCAACCTATCTAAAAAAGCAAAGTGAAGACCATAGAGAAAAAAAATTATTGAGCAAATGGGGGTCTTCTGAAGGTAATTTATTGTTTTCCCCTATCCAGTTCTGTGTCGCCTGTCTCTTTTCTGATGGAGATCATTTTTCCCCAGCGGCAGCTTTCCTGTGCGCTGTGCCTCCGCAGCTTGGAGCAGCCCGGCCGGGCAGGCCTTGGGCTCCAGGGGAGATGGCTGACTGGCCCCAGGGGTGCAGCTGCAGCAGCAGCACCTCAGGAGGCCAGGGCGGGAGGCAGGAGGGAGAGCTGGGTGGGCCCTCCACCCGCTGCCCAGCTCCTCCAGCCAGTGACCTGCTCAGCGCCACCCCCCGCACTAGCCGGGCGGCTCTCTTCTGCTCGGCCAGCAGCTGCTCCCTTGCTCGCCACTCATCGCCTCTGTCCCCATGCCAGCACCTGCCCCTGGAAATGAAGACAGGCCCAGGGCATGAAATAGCACATTCAGGAATTCTAGGGCACCCAGACTTCTCCAACAGCCTCAGTGGGAGGGGCAGGCAGTGCTGTCCCCAAAGGCCCAGGAGGTGAGGTCACCAGCTTCAGCCCAGAAACCAGGCTGGAGTGGGAGTCATCTGAAATGCAGCTGCCCCCCCAAGGCTGCATGTATCCTCAGTGAGGGACCAAGCCAGGCCTCAGGGTGGCTGTGATCGGGACTGAGGAGAGGATAAGGGGCCCTCAGGATTGGGCAGCCAGGTGCACCTCCCTTCTTGGCTAGAGCTCATATGAAGCAGCAAACGAGAGGGCTGGGGGCTCACAGGAGCCTCGCCCCAGGGCGCCCTGGCCCCCAGTGCTCGCCGTGATGACCCTCAGGTGGCAGTGACCCGTCACTGTAGACGACATTTTCTCCTGCTGAGCAGAAGGATCATGCCCTGCAAACTACCTCTTCCCACAATGTCTTTCTCCCCTGGTACCAAAAAAGAATCCCGTACCTCCTCCTCTCCCTGCCAGTGCTGCGGCCTTGGTCTTGGAACCCTGGGGAGAGGGTCCGGCCCCCGGGGGGGCTCTCCTTCCCTCCCCAGCCCTGCCATCGGCACCGGTCCGATACTTGAACACCCCACTGCCTGTGCCTTGGGCACGGGCAGAGCTGAGAAGGAGACGGCACAACTCAACTGAGCTGGGGGTGGTCTTAGCAAGGCTCCTGGCCTCACCCGTCCCCAACCTTTTCAAAAGAGGTGTGCAGCCTCTTGGGTGACTTGGAAACTCCTGGACAGATTCCAACTTATTCTAACTTATTTTGACGTGTATACAAACCAACTGTTTAGAAATTCCACTTGTGCAAAGCCCTACTGTGTTTCTATGTTCCTGTTTAAAAGAGTTTACTTAGCAATAATTATAAATAAATGAATATTCTCTAGTGAGGTGATGGCGAGTGCTTCTTCTGTGGTTCGTGGGGACCTGGTCCTTACCCTCCCCTGGGAGGAACACCCAGCAAGGCTTCCCAGGCCCGCACTGGGCAGCTTCACTCTGCAGGGGCCGGGAGACCTGCCGGCATAGCGGCCCGAGCTGCCCCGAGCCCAAGAGAGAGGAGCCCAAGGCCCGGAACTCCCACCACCTGCAGAGAAAGCCCTTCCCCTCCTTATCCACCAGCAGCGTGCCAGGACAGAAGCCCATTCTCCACGCTAGACTGGGCTTCGGAAGCTGTGCATCCTGGGGTGCTGCCAGCCCTCTGAGCACAAGGGACTGGAAGCCGGGTGCCTCCCCAGGAGTCAGGCTAGCAGAGCCTGCACAGCAGCTTTTCCCATGGCCCTGGGAGCTCCAGGTAACTTGAACAGAAAGTAGCTGCCAGCCTGAATGGGCATCTGGAGGCCCATCTCAAAGCTGCAGAGCTTCCCAACCGTTGGGTCTCAGGAGCCATGACAGTCCCCCCAAAATCTGGGCAAGGGACTTTGGGTCACCAAGTACTTATCAGGAGGTGATGATAACCCCAAAACGAACAGGATGTGGGAACTGGACTGTGCTAGGAAATTCCAAGGAGCCCAGAAGCTTGTGTGAGGCCCAGCCCTCAGGCTGCCCCTGAAGAACTCGGGGAGGCTCCCAGTGCTGCCCGGCCCCCTCCCGCCACGCGGCCCCCTCCCACCACACGGCCCCAGCTGGATGGAGGCCTGGACACAGGTCTGTTGTGGCCCGAGGCGCTCCAGTCTCTCCCTGGTGGAATCGCCAGCCCTTGGAGGGGCTCTTTCTCAGGGCCCCAGCTGCCTCCTTCCCCTGAGGGACAAACACAGCAGACAGTTTTGTGCAGAGCTTTTTAGTAGCTAAATACGGCACCATGTGTTCCAAGGGCAATATAAATTACAGTATGCAAAACATACCGACTGGCTGAGGTAAAACACGCTGTTCCTGCCTCACGGTCACCGTGAAGGGAAACACAGATACAATTAAAAACATTTTGTTTATAAAAAATGTCCCCTAGGAAGGCCTCCGAGAGGGGCGTGAGGCTCACCCTCCACCTGGTGTCGGAGGCCCCGGGCCTGCTCCCGTGTGGCCCCGGCCCGTCTGCGACGCAGCCGGCCAGGCTGTGCTCCTGCCCCGCTACTGCCGGCCCAGGGCTCTGTCCAGGTTGCTCTTGATGGTGTCCAGGAAGTCCGTGGTGTTCAGGAAGTGCTCGTTCAGCTTCACGCTGCCAAGAGGACATGCGCATGAGGGGCCGCTTGAGCCGGGCCCTTCCAGGGAAGAGCCCAGCCGGGGCATCAGGATGGCAGCCCTCCTGCGCCCGTAGGAAGGGGCACAGCCAGGTTACCGGCCCGTTGCCTACAGCCCACCACCCAAGGGCCTCAGCAAACTCAGCAAGAACCTGACGGGGTCTGTTTCATTTTCCAGGTCACTAAGCAGCTGGGGACAAGCTCTCCTGGGAGAAGCGTAGATGGATGCTGGGGGGCAAGGGCTCTGAGCAGCGGGCCTCGGGGATGGGGACCAACTCACTCGGCCTGGTCTGGAAGGCCTGGCCTGAGCCGTCCCTCAGGGCCGTGGACCTGTCCCACCCCGGGCCACTGGCAGCCAGGCTGACTCGGGGGGGGTCCTCTAAGAGGGCTCCTCTGGCTTCTTCCCACCCAGCCCTGAGGTCCCAGGAGGCCAGCCCGGCCCTCCACCACAGGCCACGTACTTGCTGAGGCCATGGATGCAGCCCGCCAGGTCCTTGGTCATGGCTCCGCTCTCCACTGTCTCCACACACACCTTCTCCAGGGTCTGGGCAAACCTGCAGGAGACAGGGCAGAGTGAGAACTCGCCACACAGGGTTGGGGCACAGGCCCCTCCCTCTGCACCCACCTGATGAGGTCCTGGTTCCCGTCCAGCTTCCCCCGGTGCTCCAGGCCACGCGTCCAGGCAAAGATGCTGGCAATAGGGTTGGTGCTAGTGGGCCGGCCCTGGAGACGGAGCCAAATCAGCCCACAGAGGCCACCGAGATGCCACTGGCCACCCCTAGGCTGACGGGGGAGGCCCGCCCTCCCAGCCTGCGGGGCCAGCAGTTCCTGGGCCTCTGGGGGTGGGTGGGCATGTGGCCACAGTCCCCACACTCACCTTCTGATGCTCCCGATAATGGCGAGTGACCGTCCCGTGGGCAGCCTCAGCCTCGATGGTCTTCCCGTCCGGGCAGACCAGCACAGATGTCATCAGGCCGAGGGAGCCGAAGCCTGAAGGGCAGAGGCCTCCTCTGAGTAGCAGCGCCTCCCCTCGGACCACCCAGCTCAGCCCCACAGCCCTCCACTCTGAGGAGCCTCCCAGCCACAAGCTGCCCCTCAGCTCATGACCCCAGAGTGCAGCAGGAAGGACACAACTGTTCGGGCTTGCCTGCTCCTGTCCTGGTCCCTGAAGCCCAGCACAGAGCAGGGGGCACTCAAAGGTGACCGTCGCCAACCCATTAACGTACATGTGAGTCCCCACCTCTAGGCACCCCAGAGGCCATGACCCCAAGGCCCAAGACCCCAGAGAGTTCTGCCCATGCAGCCTGGCTGGCGACCCAACGGCTCGTTCAAACAGGACAGATAAAGCCTACTGCCAGCCATTCCACAGCAATCACTTTGTCTGCTCCTCTTTTAAGCTACTTTAAAGCTTTGTGATTTATATCCAAATTTTCCTATATCAACCTTTTCTGTTGTCAGGGTCTCCCGGGCTTCAAAAGCACCCCGTGGCACCAAAATAAGAATTGTAAGGCCCAAAAAAGAAAAAGTGAAAAACTTCTGTAAGAAAACTATTTGTCTAAGAACTTGCGGTGTTGGGGCAGCGGAAGGGGGACCCTTCTCCATCTTTACCTGGACCTTCACCCTCACTAACTCCTTACATACCTCAGGGTGACTTTCATGCCTTTCTCTTGTCTATGGCTTTTCATCCTTCCATCCCAGATGGGAATTGTTTTAGTGAGAGGATGACCACTGAACTTTTAGAAATAAAGCCAAAGGTTTTTTCAAAAAGCATTGAGATTGTATGCTTTTCACGGCGACCGGGCAGGGGCTCTGCTTTTGTCCTTATCAGGAGCTAGACCTCATCCCATCTCACAGAACCTCATTTCTCCTTCGCTCCCTCTGTTCACACGTTGCCTGTTCCCAGCATCCCTCCTGGTCGTGTGCCCAGCACTGCTGGGCTGTTTCTCACGGTTCTTCTCTAGCGGCCTCACCCACACCTGCTGCTGCAATCCGATTTGTCTTTCCGGACACTCTAGGACTCGGGGGCTTTATCATCCTCTCCAGTAATCTCCTACATCTAAAAGGCTTACTGTGAAAAACGAATTCCCTGTTACGTCAAAGAGCATTTTCCATTTTTCTACCGCAACCAAACCTAGCCCAAACCTGGAGCCACACATAGTCACCTGGCCCCTGCACAGACCGGAAGAACCTCAGAGCCTACACACACAGCCCTTCAGAATCTGAATTCCTGTGTCATTCTTCTGTAACAGCAGCCTTAGTAATACACCATTCCAGACCTGATTTACGATCCTTCCTCACAGATGCCAGGTAAGTTCTGCTCCCTCATGTCCACAGAGAACCCAGCAAGCCTCCGTTCTACGCTACCCTAGAGGTATTTTCTACCAAAAGGGTCTGAAAATTCCCCCAGGCAGAGAAGACCAACATCCGTCCCCTCAGGGAGCAGGGCCCTCCCAGCATACCCTGGGCCAGGATGTCGGACTGCACATCTCCGTCGTAGTTCTTGCAGGCCCACACAAAGCCGCCTGAAGACTTGAGGACCTGGGCCACCATGTCATCGATGAGCCGGTGCTCGTACCAGATCTTATTCTTGTCAAAATCAGTCTTATAGTGCCTGAGAGCAAAAAGGCCACTGTGGATAGAGGGCAGGAGGCTGACAGGTGGGGATCTCTCCCTGAGCCTCGTAGCTGAGCCTCATGCACTGCGGCAGTGACCACTCTGGTAGGACGGGGCCCAAGGGGAGGAGGGGAGGAGGGCCGTGGAGCCCCTGGGAAGCAGTAAAGGGGGAGGCGTTACTTCTCAAAGATCTCCTGGAAGATGTCCTTGAAGCGCCCATCATAGGCTTTCAGAATGGTGTTCTTGGTGCTCATGTACAGTGGCCACTTCTTCTGGATGGCGTACTGGAAGCAGCTGTGCGCGAAACCTGAGATAGACTGCGAGGAGAGAGCAAGGTCCGTGGCACGATACCCCAGCACCAGGCCGGGTGCCAGAATGGGGTCCCTTCCCTCCACACGCCCCCGCCCCTCTCTGGCAGTCTGGACTAACCCAGCCACCTTAGAGTGAGCATCTGTTGCTCCTGCTGGCCCAGCACCCCCTGCCCAGCTTCTGGGAGGAAGCAGCCCCCTACTCTGCTTTGGGAAGCTACCTCCCCTCGCCAATTCACAGACCATATGGCTGGGATGGGCTCCGTCCTCCAACCCACCTGCCCATCTCTACAACTGACAAAGCATCCGGGCTTATCCAATCAGAGCCTTTCATCTCCCAGGGCCTCTGTGACTGGCTAGAAATGGTCCTGCGAGCCAGGCCTAGTCCTCTGGCAGGAACCAGGAGCCAAAGGGCTTTTCTGATAGGGCAGCCATGCTGGCAGGACATTAGCCTGAGCTACTGGTAGCTGCTGCTTCATGGCCTGAGAAAGGCCAACCAAGAGGAAAGACGAGACAGGTGGGTGGGGATGGGGAGGGGAAGACATGCACCCAGTCTCCTTGACTCACACGCCCCCGAGGTGCATCCAAGCTGAGCCCAGCAATGCGGGAGCAGGCGCAGCTGGCTAAGCAGGAGTCTGACACACGGGCACAATACAGGGCCCCCCAAACACATCCAAGTTGCTTCCAAGACACCCCTCAGGCTGCTGCCCACCAGCCCGACGTGGCCCCAAGGGCAGACGGGCCCAGGAGGAGCTTGGCCCGCAGCCGGGCCTCACCTCGTCAGTGTTGTACATGCCC